CACACTCGGTAAGTAATCCTACAATTTTTTGTTTATAGCGTAGTTTATACGGATTATTTCCAAAAAAAAATATACGTATTTTGGAAATGTTGAGTCGGATTAGTCTAGAATCGATTAATTTTATGGAAGAAAACCTTTCAATCAGCCGTAGTCCGTAAACTTTACACGTGTCGGGCTGTGATTGGAACGACTCGTAAGAAATCGGATTCCTAAAGAATGGAACGTATCTATGATCTTATAGGGGGTCGACTGTATTCATACAAAATAAATGACTTAATAGAGAACGAAATTTGGATTTGGCAAAAGAAAAAGAAAAAAAATTAATCAGAAATAATTCTATCAAAGATCACAGAGATCACTTTTAAACTTAAATGGCAATAAAAGAGATCACTTTAGATTTAGAACAAAGTGGGGGTGGCATGATAAATAAATAATAGTAGAGATAAAGAAAACACAATAAATTCATTTTCTGACTAACAATTATAAATATTGTAAAAATAACATTTACTTATAAAAATTACACTAATAACAAAAAAGTGTTACACACAAAAAATTCCAGCAACGAGTTACTTAACTTTCCTGGCAAGATTTAATGGCACCATATGTTATGACATTTTATTTTAAAAACTTTCATATTTTTAATTATTATAAAATGGCAAAACCTTAATTTTCAGGATAAGGATGGATTTTATAAAAAATTGGAAATCCTAATAACCAGTAAAATCGTCATTAAGTCTGATCTAACTGAAGATACACGACCCCTTTTATCTCCCGACCCCCTCGACCATTAATCACCAAAATTTAATACTATTAATCCCCATAAAAAGCAAATCTTCCTGCAAAATTTCAGAAATTTTCGAGAGAAAGCACAGGAGTTATTAAGCTTCAAACATACTTGTGCCCCATACATGCAAACACACAAACATCCATACATACAAAAAAAAAATCAAATTTGTTTGCATTTCTCGATGTTTCAAGTGTCCTGAGCCCAAAAGTGTAAAAATCGGGGGATCATTTTTGATCAATTGCCATACATTCTCTCCGTTGTACGAAGGTGTTTCAATAAGTAACGCCTTTTATTTTGTTTAAATAAACGTTTTAATGTGTACGCAAAAACGTGAATATAATAAATTAAGTTTGAATTTATGGCAACACTATTACACGATAGGAACACTTGCGTTGTCTGTCGGACATTTCTGACGAATGGAAAGAAGTGAGCAGCGAAGTGATTTATTCGTTTTCTACAGGCAGGGGGCAAGAAATGTGAACAAATTCATACGGAAATGCAGAAAGTGTACGTTGATGATTGCATGGACAATTCAAATGTCCATCGATGATGCAAAGTGTTTAAAAATGGTTGTCAGTGTGTGATTGATAAGCACAGATCAGGTCGTCCGGTAAATGCAGCTTCGCATCAAACAGTCGCTGCTGTTTGTTTTATATGGTTTGCTTTGTTTACACGCCGTTCGTGACGCACTTAAGACCCCCCGTAAGACAGGAATACAAACACTTACTCTGAATACTTTATTCAGGGTTATACTTGGACCGGACGATCTCCAGTCCCATACATTAAACAGGGCCGTCCGTCTTGCACGTGCCGCTCTCCCTCTGGTGTTGCCAGATCTTTCCGTAACATGTTTCCTTTTTTTTATGACTGAACACATAAAACTTAAATACATACATATTTACAAATTGAGTCGAACAGGAGCTTTAATAATTCTTCCTGAACTAGTTTTTCTTGTTGGAGTTTGAAAGTCCTTTTCTTTGGAGATTACTCCTTCTTCCTTTTCCTCAGTTTCTTCCTTTCCATTTTCTTGTTTCTCTTCACCTTTCTCTTGAGGTGCTTTTCTGGGGCTGTGATTCGGTTTCAGATGCACTCTGTTTCTTCGGTACTGTTGACCGTGTGAATCTTCTATTAAGTATGATCTGGGTTCATTTAGAGGTTTTACAACAGTTGCCGGAGACCATTCTTTTCCTGTATGCACTAAAACTTGTGTTGACGGTCTCAACGGATTGAGGGGAACACTACCTCTGTCATAATACATTGACATCTTGTTCTGGTTCTGCTCCAGTTGTTGTTGGATATCCTCTCTACGAAATTGGAATTGGTGATAATGGGATGATTTGCATGGAAGTGTTGACCTTATGTTCCTTCCCATGCACAGCTGAGCTGGTGATGGTAATGAGTTCCTAGGAGTGTTTCTCCAGTTTTGCAAAGCCAAATACTGATCTTGACCTGCTTCTGATGTCTTTTTAAGTATGTTTTTTATTGTTTGCACATGTCGTTCTATGTGGCCATTACTCTGGGGATATCGAGGACTAGATGTACTATGCTTGATACTCCATTTGTCACAGAAGCGATTAAAAGCTACTGACGAGAATGGGGGACCATTATCAGTCATTAATATTTCTGGACTTCCAAATCGCGAAAAAGTTTCTTTGAACTTGGGAATAACTTTGGAAGCATCAGTCGATGGCATTTTATAAACTTCTGGATAGGCACTGTATCTATCCACAATTAGCAAATATGGACTGCTGGCCAAATAGAAAATATCCGCTGTTGCTTCTTGCCATGGATATGTAGGAATTCTGTGGGGTATCAAAGGTTCTTTTGTCTGAGCTGGTCGAAATCTTTGACATTGTCTACAAGATTTTACTGCTTCTTCTATGTCACGATTCATTCCTGGCCAGTATACCTTATTCCTCGCTCTGCTGAGTGAAGCGTTGATTCCCAGATGTGCAGCATGAATTTGCTGTAGAACTCTGGTTCTTTGTTTCTCTGGAATTATTATGGCAGGTCCTTTACATATAATATCCTTCCATAGGTATAGGTCTTCTTTAAAATCGTAGTAGGGTTTGATGTTTGATGGGATAGACTTTTTATGTACCGGCCATCCTTCTGATATGTATTTCTTTACAGTCTGCAGACTTTGATCTTGTCTTGTGTTTTCAGCTAATTCTATGAGTTTGGTGTCTGTGATTTTCATACCAACTGTTCTTATTAATACTTGTTCATCTAGGTCTGGTGTTGAGAAATTGGGTGTAGGATGCCTTATGTCCCTTGAAAGAATATCTGCAATGAGATTATCTCTTCCCGGCTTGTAGTATAACTTGAAGTCGTAAGCCAATAACTTTAGCATTAATCTCTGCAGTCAAGGAGACAATGTACTTAATGGTTTTTTAATTAGTGTGATTAAAGGTTGGTGATCGGTATATGCTACAAACGATCTTCCAAGTAGCAGGTGATCAAATTTTTTACATCCATAATATAAGGCGAGTAGTTCCTTTTCGATTTGGGAATAGTTTTGCTGTGTATCATTCAAAGATGATGATGAAAAAGCTAAGGGTTTTCCTTCCTGTGTAATTGCTGCTCCTAGAGCATGTTGACTGGCATCTGTATGTAGGGTTATAATTTTGTTTGAATCAAATTGTGCTAATGTTTGAGGCTGCGTTAGAATTTTCTTTATATAATTAAAATCCCTTCTTGCCTCTTCTGTCCATGTCCATTCAATATTTTTCCTGAGCAGCTGCCTAAGATTGTGTGTGAGATTTGATAAATTAGGTATAAATTTGCCTAAATAGTTCACTAATCCCAAGAATCTTTGTAGTGCGTTTTGGTTTTCTGGTTCTTTTAACTGTTGAATAGCAATAAGTTTTGATTCTTCTGGTTTTATACCGTCTGGTCCTATTATGTGCCCTACAAAGGTGACTTGCCTTTGTGCCAGTTGGATCTTGCTTTTTTCAAATTTAAGACCATGAGTTTCTGCTCTTTTTAAGACTTTTATCAGTTTTTGATTATGCTCTCTTAATGTGTTACCATAGATTAGAACATCATCCATATATGTGTAAATGCCTTCAATATCTGAAAGTATTGTGTCGATGGCTCTTTGAAAATGCTCTGATGCTGTTGTGATTCCAAACAGCAATCTTGTAAATTTATACTTTCCGAAAGGTGTATTCATTATCAACAGTTTTTGTGATTGTTCTTCTACTGGTAGCTGAAAGAAGGCTGATTTAGCATCCATAACTGTATAATATCTAGCTTTTGGAATGCTTGATAACAGTTCTGTTGGCGATGGTATCTGATAATTATCTCTAATAATGTATTTATTTAATTCACGC